CTATATTCAAAATCAAAGGAGTAAAACTACCTCCCCAAAATGTTTATGTAAGGAAGCTATATCTTCCTCTGCAAGATCCTGAATACGTCCCACTGTTTTCAGGAATGAATGACAACTTGTTTGTTAGGTGTAGTTGCCTCCAAAGAATTTCCTGATATCAAGGAAATTTAGGGGATTTTCTTGTTATTAAATGTAAAAAAGATTTGAGTCCTAATAAGGGTGTGATAGGGAAACTGCCTTTTCAAGTTAACTTTCACAAAAAAAACCCCACATTAACTATTTTCAGTTTAGCTTTCCTTCAAATAAATAGAGGATCACAAGAAAAGGAAAAGTATATTTATTACTAATAAAAATGAGTTTACTAAAATGTTATTTATATTTTTCTTTATCCCAGATCTTACACCTTACCTTAAAATTTCTGTGTAATCTTTAGTTTGCATAAAAATGTTTTCCAGAATAAATACAAGTGAAACAACATCTTTTAAAGTTATTCACTTCTTAAGTAAACAAGTTAAATCTGGATATAATCTCTATTTTGGTGCTTCTCTCCTGACACGAGAACTTTGATCTTCCTTCAGCTATGTTGATAAAATAAATAATTTTAGTAGGACATCAGGAGATGGGAGGAAAAAATAGGTTAGTAAAACTTAAGTACAGCACTTTAAAGAGATTCCTTTAAAGCAATCACTGTGAATTAGTGAGCAATGTGAATGAAGCCTACTGCTCTCAAGTTTGATGGCACCCATCAATATAGGGAGGACAAATAAATTCCTAATTCAAATGACTAATTAATTGACTTCATAATAAAACCAATGAATATGACTGAAACTTCTGATACCAGGAATTCCAGTAAGTTTTAGTTGGCAGTGAGAATGAATTAAATTCCCAAACATTTTCAATATTGGTATATAGTTACACACCCAAGAGAAGAATACCCCATTGTGTTTGCAGTAACATTCAAGAACAACCTCCTGAACATTAGTTATCAATTTTTCTCTTGCCATTCTCGACTCTTCCACTATAAAATTAATAACATTGGGTTCAGATAATGCTGTTTATTAACAACTACCAATGAAATCATCAATTGTTACTGAATGCTCCAGGTTTAAAATTAGAGATTTTTACTGGCATTAGACTATTACCAGTATCCTTCAGTTGTAATGAGGCATTAATTATAGAAGACATTCTTATTCCTGAATTACTGAAGCTTAGAAGAAGTGAAAGGATTTCCTTATACAAAATTACTCTGCTTTGAACATTTTCTCTGAAGAACTAGAAGAAAATAACAAAATTTTGAAATATTAGAAACAATTTTTTTGTTGTTGTTAAATGTCTTCTTCCCTCTTTCGGAATGTAAGTTCCTTGAGAACACAGACTTATCTTTGTGTTACATACTCCTAATAGATTACATAGCACAGACAAGCCTTTTTAAAATAGGTTCTGAGAGAATTATTGGAAGTAATGGATTAACTTCTCTCCTATGCATATGAAAGAGTACTAGTTTATGTATCACTCTTGGGAGAATTGAAAGTTCCTCAAATCAATTGCTTTTAATAGCTTAGATGAGAAACCATGGCTGAAAAAAGCTAGACAAAGTATGTATAATCACCAAAAAATTGTTAACATATGAAAACATTATCACATAATGGATTGAAAGTCTTCTTTCCTAAATCATTTTTATTGCATATTTAACTACTTCAGTTTTAAACTCCTTGAAGACAAGGATCAGTTCTTTCCAACTTTCATAACTCTTACAAGGTCTAGGACACTATGATATAGAGTTCAATTTAATTCACATTGTATTTTACCAGTGGATTAAACACACACACATGCATACACACATTACCTAAACCATATCTCCATCCTATTGAATCAGAATCTTGGGGCGGGGGTGGGGGGATGGTCAAAGGAATATTTCTAGCAAAATCTCTATAGGTAGAAAACTGGGTATCCAGAATTGAGCACCAGTGAATTTAAAATTAATTCCTCTTCCTATTGTTGGTTCCTCTAAATATAACCTAGCTGCCTCATGTCAATCCCATTATCTTCATTTAAAACTTGCCTTTCAAATGCTTACTTCTTTAAAAGAGCATTATTCCATCTCAAAAACAGGCCATCATCTGTCTTTAAGTTGGTTTATTTTTTTAATTCAATGTCCTTCAGAATCATTTTGCTGTTCCGCAAATATCAGTTATCTGTCCAGTTTCATTCTCCCTTTCATTCTTAAAATGTAAGGTCTTCCAAATCTCACTTGGTCCTCTGTGTCTTCCTAAAAGTTTATAATTTCTTCCGTTCCTAATACACTAGCTTGGACTTAACCATCTTTCATATTACTTACATAGTTCCCCTGAGGTCTTTAGTGTCCTCTTAGACAAGAATATTAAAAGCTATGGAGTTTACTTCGAGGTAAATACCCAAAGAATGGAAGGAAAAACAGACCCTTGCACATCAACGCTGATGGCAGTATTATTCATAATAGCCAAAAAGTGGAAACAACTTAAGTGTTGTCTATCAACAGAGAAATGGATAAATGAATTGTACTATATACATAAATGGAATATTAGTCTTTAAAAGGATGGGAATTCTGATACATGCTTCTATATGGATGAAACTTGAAAATACTATGTTAAGTGAATTAGTCAAACACATAAGGACAAAAATTATATGATTCTACTTATATGGGGCAACTCCTAGAATATGCAAATTCTGAGACAGCTACTAAAACAGAGGTTGCCTGGGAGGTGGGGCAAGAGGTTTGGGGAATTACTGTTTAATGGGTACAGAGTTTCTGTTTTGCATGATGAAAAAGTTCTGGAAACAGATAGTGGTAATGGTTGTATGTACTAATGCCACTGAATTGTACACCTAAAAGAGTTAAAACAGTAAATTTTATGTCATGTGTATTTTGCCACAATAAAAAATTAAAAGCTACTGAAATTATTTTCTTGACTTTCCTACACCAGCTTTTTTTTTCATACTAATTTTACCTTTATTGTTAAAGGAAAAGGAAAAAAAAAATGTCATACTCTTTTTCTGTATTCCCTAAATTTATCACTCTCTTTTTAGCTTTTTCCCTTTCCTTTCCCATTTCATTTTTCATAAAAGTAAAATAAAATTTAATATGGATATTCAGAATTTTCCACACTTCATGCACAATGATGTTGTGGATACATACACACAAAGTACACTTCAAAACTACACACAAGGAACACCTCAAATCTATACACACACACACACACACACCCCACTCTCAATCTCCTTAGACTCTTGAAATTGTTTGCAAAATTCTTCTCCACTTCTTGTTTGATCTTGTTTCTCATTTAAATATAAGTAAATAAGACATCAAGCTTCAAGCAAATAATTTTGTATTTCAAGTTCTTTTTAGATGTCAAGTACTTAGCAAATAATGGGAAAATGTCAATTTAAAGTTTACCTACACACAAGAAAATATAGTCTAAAAGGAGGGAAAGATAAATACATCAAAAGGATATCTAAAGAACTGATATTACATAAATTATGGGGCAGCTGAGAAATGATATTCTCAAAGGAAAAATGGAGCAGGGTGGAAAGCTACTTTAATCTAACCACAAAGAACTATAAATAAATTTATTATTTTTGGAGATGATACTTTAAATTTTAAATTATTTTTGGAGATGATACTTTAAATTTTAAATTATTTTTGGAGATGATACTTCCAGTCTTATTAAAAATGATAAAATTAATAGGAATAACTCATCCTCATGAAGCCCTGGAACATGGAAAATAAATCAGGAAATAAATTTAATATATGGAAAATCACTGAAAGATCCTGTATACAAGAAAATAAAGTACATAATATATGATGTGAAAGGTCAACTGAAGCAAAGATGATACATTATTTGAAAAAAAATCTATTGCTAAATAAAGGGAAGAATGTGGAGTTGTATAAAAAAGGAGAAAGGATGGGTGATAGTTTGAAAAGTCAGTTTAGGAGTAAACTGTACTGGACTGTTAAAAAAGTGAAGCATTTTCCTATTTCTAAGATATGTTTGGACAATATGTAGGCAACACTTTTCTTGGAAATAAAATCTGATCAGGGTTACAAGACAACAGAGGAATAACGCCAGTGATTTACCAGATGCAGAAAAGTATAAAGGAGGCAATATGAGCTGATCAGCAAGTTGCAAGGCTGAGTACAGAGGAGACGAATGCAATGTCTCAGGTTAATTAATGGAGCAGCCATGTGCAGCAAATATTGGTAAAGGAGACAGTAGTCAAGCAAACTTAGTTAGCAGTCCAACTTAGTGGCATAAGACAAGTGGAGATAGGTAGCAGAAGTGCTAAACAATATGAACCTACTTAAAATATTATAGGCATAGATTGGACAGGGCAAGATCAAGCAGGCAGATGGCATAGCACTTGGAAGGCCATGATACAGAATGGTAGGAGAGCAGATAAACAGTGCTGTAGTCTAAAGCTAAAGTAGCAAATGGATATGGCAGTATCAGGCTATTTGCTGATAGACAAAGTACCAGTAAGTGAAGAATGCAAATCATTCAGCAGATGCGTAAAGTGGGGCAAAAAGTAGAGGTAAAAATCAAAGGCAGTCATAGCAGTAAGACAGAACAACAGAGAAGCAATGACAGATCATCAGAAGCAGTTGTGTAGGGTAGGAAAGAGCTGTTAGCAGGGGAACAAAAACACCATTCAGGAAAAGATGAAATCGAGAATAAAGCAGTCTCCTGAATTGGGTTTCTTCCATCTAGGAAACAGTCATCAATAAACTGCATATGAGAATCCACAAGAGAATAGCACACAAATGGAAATAGCGGATGAATCTGAACTCTATTGCCCAGGGATACAGAATGATCCTAGAACATAGATACATAACAATCCACAAGGAAATTAAATGCATGGGAAAAATGGGTCCAAGCATTCTTTATGATGATAAAAAAAAAAAACCAAAACACTAAAAATTATTAATCTGGAAATGATTGGCTGGGATTGAAGTCTTCGCTTACCCCTTTCTGGAGCCCACAAAATGGGAATGTTGGGAATTTCTGCAGCAGAAAAACAGAAGAGAAAAGGGATTTCTGACTCCCAGTTTGAGGAAAGCAGGTCAAATTTAGGGCTGTATGAACTGGTTCAGGGAAATAAGAACCAGCCTGAACCTTCCCCATTCCTCAGAATCAAGCAATTTTTGAGGTTTGGGAAAGGTTTAGGAAGCCCTCATCCCGTCATTTCCCACAACCTCCCCTTTCACACTTACCTCCAGTGCAAACGTTTCCAGCAAGGAGGTACTTGGGAAAACTCACTCCCATGTTTATACCATGGCAAAATTTGAGGATGGCCAACTAATAGTACTTCCTGTGTAGGTCAGGTTTCTGATTCAGTGGGATCCCTGCTATTTGTGAGTGAGCACAGGGGATAAGTTACTAGAAACTACCTACCTCTTTGAAAGTGGATGAGGAAAAAAAGCAAGGGCAGTAATACCAATAAATAAGTAGTAATACTAGTAAACCTTGGTGATCTCATCATTTGTCATGGATTTTAATTCCATGAAGATGCTGATGACTTTTAAAAAAGTATCTCCAGCCTAGACTTCTCTTCTGAACTCCAAATGCATGTGTTTAATTGCCAATTTAACATCTCCATTTGGATATCTAAAAGCAGTTCATTTCTATGACCAAATTAAAACTGATGTTTCTCGTCAAACCTCCCCTTCCCACAGTCTTCTCCAGTAAATGACAACTCTATCTTTCCAATTGCACAAAGTCAAAATCCTGGGTCTTATACTTGACTTCTCTCTTTCTCTTATTTCTCCTCTTACCTCTATCTTCAAAATATATAAATAGTATATTTCTCACTACCTTCACCTCTATCATTGGTCTAAGTCACTATTATTTTTCAACTGATTATTTCAATAGCTTCCTAAACTGTTTCCCTATTAAGATATAAGTCAAATCATGTACTGCCTCTGTTCAAAACTCTCCATTATACTAAGGGTGGCATATAGGTTTTACATGATCCATGGCTCATTCCATCTCCTTTATGTCTTTGCTCAAATGTCATCTTATCAATAAAGCCTTCCTTAATGGTCTTTTAAAAACTACAACTCTGCTTTCTGCCTACACTATCTATTCACTCTCCCTGGTTTATTTTTATCCACAGTACTTATCACCATCTCTAATACTATACATTTTACTTTTTTACTTATATTTTTGTCATCCACTAGAATGTAAATTTCATAAAGGCAGGGACTTTTGACTTCTTTGTTTATTGCTATATCCACAGCATCTTGAACAATGCCTGGCATATATACAGCAGGCACTCAAGATATATTTGAATCTATTAAGTGTTAATATCTTGTGGTGCATCACCTTTCTCTGTCTTAAATTCTCAGAGCATTCTTCTAAAAGCCCACGTTATGAGCCTTTGATTAACAGAGGAGATACTAGTACACTATAAGGTAGGAATATTCTAAAATAGGGTTTGGCAAATCATAGCCAAGGGAACAATTCCTGCCTGCTGCCTGTTTTTTGCATCGCCTTCAATCTAAGAGTGATCTTTAAATTTGTAATGATTGGAAAAAACCAAAATACGATAGCATGACATGTGGAAATTATATGAAATCCAATTTCAGTATCCATATATACATTTTTATTGGGGCACAGTGAGTCTCATTCATTTATATCATCTTATGGTGGCTTTCGTGCCACAGGGCTGGCAGAGTTGAATGCTTATGATAGAGAGTACAGAACCCACAAAGCCTGAAGTATTTATTGCCTGGACCTGTAAAGAATAAGTTTGCTGACTCCTGTCCAAAGATATTTTATACTTAGAAGGCAAAGAGTAATAACTAAAGTTTGAGTAATGCTAAACTAGAGTATTATTGTTAATACCATTGCTGCTTCTGCCCAAGACACCTAGGAGGGAAGACGCATTTATACTAGGATTTGCTTTTAGTATCTATAAAAGTAGCCTTCTCATTCCTCTAAATGTTATCTTATACTGGTGGTGATATTCATTAATCTATTGACCCTATAAAAGCAGCCTCATCTTAATGATAGGATATAGCATACGTAAAGGTAAGTCTTAAAAATGGCAAAAGGAAGGGAATGAGAAAGTGAATAAGGCCCACAAACAGAGTTCATAGCAAACCAATACCCTATTTAACATATCCTGTTTAACAGGAGTGGGAAACTGGCATGATGTGAATCTCTTTTGAACTTCATCAATGGGGTTATACTAAACTGACCTCATTATAATGTGGTCTCCTAAACAACTATGGTCTTGAATCACCACAAGCAAGAGACACATTATAATAAGACTATTATATTTATACAATATTCAAAACTAACAGTTATTTTCTCATTGGTTCAAATGCCCATGTTTTATAGAAAAGTATTTCAAAAACCTGCAAAACCCTATTCAAAATCACCTCATAATCACCTGACTTATCTTTCTTACATAAAGTTTCACCTTAAGGATTAAGACATACAAGTATATCATATACAACAATCAAACTTATGGAAAGAGGTGGAGAAGGTAAGGGGGAAACACTTAAATCATCTCAATGACACCCAGCACTACAATGCTATCTTTAATCTTCATAAAGAAATATGATTTATGTCCTCTTATGTCAATTGGTCCTTGTAGAACAACTCCTTTCCCACAGCTATACCATTGTATACTTTGAGTTCTATTTTACTGGATTTTTTTCCCTACAGAAAATTCTTTCTATATTTATTCAACCATTATCTACTCATTTTTAAGCTAAAGCTCTATTTATATTGTAGGTAATAATAGCAAATATTTATGTAGCAAGTATATACTTTTTTAGTTTTACTTATGTTAATTCACATAGTATAACTACCCTATGAGGTAAGCACTCTTACTCTTTCTATTTTACACATAATAAAACTGAGGTACAGCAAGTTAAGTAAGTTGTATAAGGTCACTAGTAAAAGGAAGATCTAGGATTCAAATCCAAGTAATCTGTACTCTTAAAGATTGTGTTATGCTGCCTCACAAATAGTTTATATGGGCAATATTACTTCTCTAGTAAGAGTTCTAAATAGATGTGGAATTTAGCATAGTAAGTGTATTTGTAATTATTTGTATGTTTACTGATAATGATCATCTTAAGGGCCCCTAAAAGGTCAGTACATATTCTGATGCAGAGTAGGCATACAATTAAGAAACAAACTTAAGGGAATGAAGACAGTATTTTATATATGGGTTCTTCATATATGAAATTTTTGGTTTTGCCTTATGCTCAAAATTTTAAAATTCTGACCTGAAGGAACAATGTAACTTTATTCTTACTATATGTAATAGGAGCCTTTCAACATAATAGTTTTAAATTCAATGTCACTTATTGCCCTAATTACTTTATCTAAATTATTGAATTTTGTATCTTTACCTTTCCCCTGATACAATAATACCAAGGGGACTTTCTTTTTAATGCATAAGTAAAACAGAGATTGAATATCATGGGAACACATTCTGTGTTTAATAGGGGAAAAATGCATGCAAAAAAATACAAAAGTAACTGGACATAAGGGGTAAATGTAGTATTTATCTTCAAATATTAGGAGAACTATCATGTAAAAAATAAATCTACATTCTTTGGTACAGTGCACAGAAAAATTAGAACCATGGGGTAGAAATGATAAGGTGCTAGGTTTCAGTTTGATATGTCTGGACTTTCAAACAACAGAGTTCCAAAAGCAACAAACTTCCAGATGGAAGATGTAGCAATTGAGATGTTCAGACAAAGGTTGGGAATGATGAAAAGGGTATGCTAGGACTTTGAACATAATGGCCTTTGAATTCTCTTCAAACTCCGAGATACTGTGATTTCTCTATTTTTTTACATAGTTTGTAATTTTATATAAAACACTAAGCTAATTTGAGACACATGACTGACAAAATCTATGATGAGAAAAATGTTTCCAAACAACAAATCAAAAAACTGGAACTTGATGCTTCACAGCAGTTTCAGTTTTATCTGCAAATAATGGTGTGGATATTCATTAGGTCTGTAGATTAAATCAGGACTTAAAACAAAACAAAAAATATTCTTAAAAAATCTTCAAAAGGATGAAGTTAGCCCTACTGAAGAATACGGTGATGTGTATTTAAATAAATGACATCTCAAAAAGTATCTGGTTTTAAAGAGCCTTGATGGCGTGATTTTACTGTGTGTACTGGTTTATAGTAGACTTAGACTTAAGAATTCTGTCTTCTAAGGAGTCTCGGAATTAGGACAGTTGCTGGGGGTTTTTTTTTTGTTTGTTTGTTTTTTAATCTCTACAGATGGTGCTACTCTAGATGTTCTAAGAAAGAGATTAAAATAAGAGGTCTAGTTTATCCATCTTTCTATGTAAGATGAATCCTCTGCTCTAGCCAGGAAGATTTTCTTAATTTTATCTTTCTCTGTAGGCTGATCATACATTTCCCCTTCTTTCTTATTCCCAGTAGTAATGTCCTTCCTCTTCTCTCCTAATCTGAATCCTCTCTTCTTCAATTTTAACTTTACTACTACCTGCCCCAATTTTTTGCTGATTACTTTTTAAGTACTGATTAATTGTAACTAAAATTAATTTTAGCTTTCTCTTAATCTTTCTCCTTAAAGAAATCTTTTGGCTGCACATTTCTGATATTGGGTTTATACTGTCTTGATTTGTCAGGTGACTGTTTTAGGAGTACATGTACTTCATAGTACTCACTCAGTGAAGCCCAAGATGCTTGACAAATACTTTTTAAACTGAACAAAAACTATAATTGATGTTTTTAGCAATCTGTTAGCTCATAAATGTGTCTATCTCTAAGACATATGCTGTTTTTTAATGGATATTACAAACCCCAGCTATAAAGTGGAATGTCATGGAAAAGCTACCCTGAATATCATATATCTCAGCTGATTCAAGCCATATTCCAAGAACTTTAAACTACAGAGGAATTAGAGACTTAAAATACATAGGTTCAGGTAAGATATCAAGAGTTACTTAATGTAACTGCACTAATAAGCCTCATTCTTCATATCATATACACT